TCCTTCAATTAATATATAAATTTACTTAACTTCTGATAAAAATCCATTATTTAATGGCTAAATATCATTGTCAAATTTGCAAATGATATTTTATAACTTCCAGTGGACTGATACAGCATGCCAATATAGTACATCACAGAAGAAGAACTATTTCTTAATCAACAGGTTATACCTTACAAAGATCACAATCATTTCAGCCAATACAAAGATCAGAGCATGATGCAGATTTATGGAATATGCTGATTACAAGATCATCTCTTCTGATAATATTGGTAGAATATAATAAAATAAAGATATTACCTCTAAATATTAAAGAAGAAATGATATTATCTATGGAAGTTACTAAAGAAATGATATTACCTATAAAAGTTGCTAAAGAGATTTCAGAAGAAAGTTCTGAAGAATCACTACTAATAGACATTGATACTAGCTTTGATTCTGAAAATCTTCAAAGTACAACTTTGAATGATATTTTAAAGATTATCAAAAGAAAAATTGAATTGGAATACTTAGCATAATGGCCTAATGATATTTATCATAACTTCATGGAATTGATAATAGAGAATAATATTTTGAACAAGATTGGAGATAAAATAATTAAATTTTTTAAAAAGCATGGTAATCTGAAAGAATCATCATTGCCCAAATCCACAAAAAGTAGAAAAGATTATCTTAACTAAATAAAATCACCTTTGATTGACTTCAAAGAAAAGATTATTAGAACTTTCTCTAATATCACTTTTACTCTTTATTACTATCTAATTTTTTGAGTCATCCAAATACTTTTACAATGACCAGGAATAACAGATAATTTTAATTAACAGAATATTCTAAAAAAGAAGATGGTAAGTTTTCAATTACTATAATATCATTAACAAAATTAACAAATCAGTAAACATTAAGTAATTATTAGGAAGATGAAGTTGAAATAAGTATATTTGGAGAACAGTACAAATATAATTAGTAGCATGAGATCAAAAAGATGCTTTCTTCATTATACTATCTATTATCAATTATTCTATATTCAGATACCACTATCTTTAATGATCTCAGCAAGATATCAGAACATCTTGTATTTTTAACACTTGGCAACTTCCTAAATTGGCTTTGAAATAAATCAAAAGCTAAAGTTCTTTTAGATTTTTTACTCAAAGTTCAAGACTCAACAATAAAAATTACTGAAAATTTTTGAAGCTTATAACATGAAATATATCACAAGTACTTTAAAATTATGCTTAGTCCTCTAGTGGAAAAATCTAATAAATTGTATTTTGGAGTATAGGAGTGACCAGTAATTTTTGTAATATATATTTTAATCTTTCTCGCAGATATGCTTGAAGCTGATGATGTGACCGCAATATATAAATCAGCAAGATGCAAAATACTATATCACATCTGCATAATTCTGTGAGATAATCTTAATAATATGAATCTTGTATCAGAGAATACAAATCTTAAAATATCAGAAAATATGCAATAGATTATAAATAAAGATCAGAACAAGAATTTTTCTATACATAATGTTGAAAATACATTCTAAAAGTTCTTATAAGTATTTGAATACTAATTCTTCTGTGATTATTTTTAAATAATTTTGAGTTATAATTAAATTAAAATTATTAAATTATTATAAAAACTTAAATATTTATGAAGCTTACATATCTGATCATATGCATCATATTGATCTTGATCTCTTTAAATACTAATTAAACTTTACTCAAGATATTTTGAAGAAAGTTGGAGAAACAGAATTACTAAACAACTTTGATAGCCACCTCTATCAAATTTCTCACTTTTCTGGGTTGAAGCTATTTGATAAATTGGGTCAAATAAAAATGATGACAGTCACAGATTATTAAATATCATAAAAATTACTCTTTTCATGTTAAATAATATCTTTGACATATAAAATGATATAATCTGCAATAAACTCTGTATGCTTTATGCAAAGTTCAGTAGGATATATATAATAAGTAAACAAGAGTCATTTACTGAAAATAATTTAAAGGAATTTGAGGTAAAATAAAGCAAAATCAATTAAACTTTGAAAAACTAATAATGAACTTTAAAAATGGATATAGGTTCTTATTGCTGACTGGTTAACTGAATTTAAGAGAATCTTCTTATCACTATCTACTACAGAATATAGTTTTCCTAAACTGCATAGTTAGCACTATCACATGATTCTGATAATTCATAAATATGGTATCTTGAATGGTCTCTCAACAGAAATATATGAAATACTTCACGAGTCATATATGAAAAATCCATATTAGTCATTGAATAGAAAAAATGTCATGCAGCAGATAGTAAATGTAGTAAGTCAAGTATATTAATTGTGATCAATTTGTTATAAATTCTAAACTATACTTATAGGTGAAGTACAAAAAATTAGTTCTAATGATAAGTAAAACAGTTTATTATAAAACTACAGGATTTGACAAGATATTATGGAAATTATCTTTAAATACTATTAAAGCAAAAGTGATTTCATTGAAGAATTTGGAGAGTCTACCACATCCAAATTTTATTAAAGAATTATCATATATAATTATTGCATTAGATATATTTCTTGATATATCATTATAAAAATCTGAAAGCAAAGATTTTTGTATAAAAGTTTATGATATGATTTATTTGGAAAGTGACAAAATTCTGAGAATATCTGGAAATTTTCATGATAAAGAGTGATTTAGTAATATTATAGTAACTTTAACTAAAGATTAAAGCTATTATAGATCAGATAAAGATACTTAGTATAGAAAGATAAATATAACTTGAAGAATAGTAAAATATAATTTCAAATTTAGAAATTTTGAATGAATTAACCTTTATATTTTCTTCCAAAAGATATTACTCTTTCTACAGTTTTTTCAAGAATCAGCAAAGAATCCATATAATCTTACTATAATTTATTAATATGATATTATGTCAAATGAGCCAGAAAAATACGATTACTCTCATCTATACTATATCAAAAAATATAATATAATTCTAATAAAATTTATAGAACAAGAGATATATATTATGCTGAGATTTGACAAAAAAATCTTTTTTTATTAAATAAATATATGTTTTGAAAAACTAATAAGCAAAGAATTTTAAAGTCAAATTTATATCTATAGTAAACTTTAAAGAAAAAAAATAAATGATAATGCATATAATCAATCTTTTATCATTTATCTATTTAATTTCTGTCTAAAGAACTGTAATAATCTGTAATTATACTAATCATTACAGTTTCTTCAGATTACACTTCTCTAAAATTTCTATTTTCAGAATTCTATACAGATTTTGGGTCAGTATAATCAAAAAATCAGCAATAATCAGCATATTTACTGATTGTTACTGATCTGATATCTATCAAATTTACTGATAATATATTTATTCTTAAAAAAATTATTCTTAATTTTTAGTCTTATATAATTATTATATTTTGATAATTTATCATTTTTAAATTTCTTCTTATACTTCTTATAGAAATAACTATTAAAAACTATCTTATTAATAAGTTTGTTATAAGTTCAGATTTAATAAATGATCTTATTTAAAGCAGAACAAAAATCATAAATTACTTATTTATTTTATATTTTTAATTTTAAAACTATATAAAAAGTTTTTTTATAATAATTATTTAGTTCTTATTTCTATTTTAATAACTAATTTTTGATTTTAAGATTTTATTTTTTTAATCAATTACTAAAAGTCAGTTTTTTATTTTAATCTTACTTATTTAAATTTTTTTTTGATAAACTTGATAAAGATTTAGTATTTAAATATATTTTTCTATTTAATTTCTTTTCTTTCTCTATTCTTTATTTTTTAATAGTTTAATAAACTTTCTCTAATTTTCTTTTAATTTCTTTTCTAATTCTTTAATTCTTATTCTTTAACTTTTAATTATATTATGAAATTTTTCTAATAATTTCATATTTTTATCAAATTTTTTTTAAGTATTCTGAATTTTACTTTTTAACTTTTAATTATATTATGAGATTTTTCTAATAGTTTTGCACTTTTATCAAATTTTTTTAAGCATTCTGAATTTTTAGTATATTAATTTTCACATATCTTAATAGCATCTAAATAATAAAGAGAATTTTCTTTCATTATTTTTTATTTCAAATTCTAAATTCTTAATTATCAATTCTTTTTATCTCTTTTTATAATTTTATAATTTCTTCTTAAAGTTCAATATTTTTAATTTTCCTTTCAAATATTATAATTCAACTATTATAAATAATTATCCTTAATTATTAATTTTTTTCTAATAGTTTCTTATTATTTTCTTTAAGTTTTATTAATATGTTTATTATTTTTCTTGTTTTATTTTTATTTATTTTTTTAATATACTTTTATCCTTTTTATAAGAGAATATTAAATATATAATTATTTTAATAATTTCTTTTTTATTTAAGTTTTAAAAATTAAAAGCAAGAAAATTCTATTTATTACCAGTATAAATTAATTATATGCAAGTAATATCTTTAATTTCTAACAAATAGGTAAATATTTTGGTAAATATACTCTTATCTTTTGTAGTCTAAAGAAAAAGAAATTAAAACTAGAATGAAAAAGAATTTAATTTGTTTGATAATTTCAATAACACTTGCTTTTTTAGTTTTTAATAAATTGAATTCTGTATAAGTATCATTAACAACCAGTTGGACTCTGACAATTCCAGATCAACCTGTTTCAAAGAGAAAATGCTGATATTTTTGTAAATCACTCAATTTTTTAAAGAAAATTCCCAATACAGAATTAATATCTAAGTATTGAAAGCCTTTTCCATCTTTATAGCACTGAGTTTTGTTTAATCCTGCTGTACTTGATCTTTTCACAACCTCAACAACGTGATCCATGCAATCTATTGTTGTCTTCCTATAGAGTTTTTTAATCAACCCAAAACTACCATCACACTTGAATTTAGTATGTCCAGGTATCATAAAATTTAACTCAATACTTTCATCATAACCACAAATTACCAAATACAGATAAAATCAAATGGTAGCGTTATTTTTGTTCTGTCCTCCTGCATTATCGCAAGTAATCTTCAAATGCTTTTCGCCTTTATTCAATCTCTTAATTCCATCGAATACCATGCTCAATGTACCATTAGGACCTTTCCCTATAATTTCGTCTTCATCAAGAACGTAATTAATTTGTTCGCGTACTGCTTCATCTTGAATACCGAATAAATGTACTTTACGGGGACCGAGATAATAAATCTTACTTACCTGTTGATCGGAATGGGGTACGTGAACATTTTGTGCTCAATCATAACTGTAATGAGCAGTAGCGTTAACGCTACAATAATCAGCTTTACCTCTTGTTATAAAGTGCTCATCTACTAATTTTCTTTGTTATTCTGCTAATTTCTTTCTAATTTAACTTTAACAATTAATCATCTAGCAGAATACATCTGATGAGACCTTCTTTACTTAGTATTACATAGTCTTTTCCCGAGCATCACATTCTTTCCCTCCAATAAGTCTAATTTCCTGTTTCGTACCTCTATACTCCATTATTACTGATTCCCATCCTTTCTGGCAATATACATTCATCCACTTACCATCACTCTTCGCTGGAGGACTGTCGCAAAGGTCAGGATTTCGAATATCAATTATTACTGATTCCTTGGAACTCTCCAGGATTTTAGCATAAATACCATCTACTTCGAAACGCTTCTCATGCTCTTTCGCCCTTTCCCCATCTCTTAGTAACTCGATCACCCAGTTTCGGTCGTCATCCACATAGAAGTCTACAAATCCGCGCGAACCGAAATCCGCTCCAACGTCAGGAGAAATATAGACAGTATTAGGGAGGACTTGAGTGGCAGCCCGGTAGAATTCCATCTGCCAAGTGCGTTCTAGAAGCCGGTTGTCTTTGCCGACACCAAATGATTTCTGTATTGTCTTGGGGTCCATAACAGTGAAGGTATCAATTAGAAAGCTTTTTAAATCATCGGGAGCTTCCATCGCCCTGTTGGTAGATCCCCAGCGCTCCTGCATGTAAAGTATATACAAGTAAGGTGCAGCAAACTCGAGTCTTTCATTTTTTTCGACAAGCATGTTTGTTTTGATCAAACGCTTTGATTCACTTGTTACGTCCCTGATATGAACGGAAGATCGAAACACATTATCACAAAGCAATTTCTCATCATCACTTAGATACTTGAGTTTTGTGTATGCACGAGCACCCTGAAACAAAACAAAGCAATGAGTATAATAATACAATCTTGTTATTATGCAGCTTAAGCTGAAAGAGTCACTCACATCCATTACTGTAGTCCAGAAATTATATGACTTCAAATACTTGAAAACGTTGCCCCATGTCAGTTTCTCTCCCTCTCTTGTGTATCTCAGTTGTTGGGTGAAATGATTTCTAATACTACCCATGAAGAATGCGACTAGTCCTGGATGGCGCTCTGTCGTATTGTACACGTATTGCTGAAGACATGAAGTATCATCATCATTCATGTTAAGATACTTCTCGCAGAAGCGTGAGACGTAGTCGTGATATTCTTCATCAGTGAAGCGCACCTCTTCCAAACTCCAGGTATTTCGAGGGTGGATGGTAATTGGAGACACGTCCATTATGCCACCGGGAGCCGGGCCATCCCAGGCATCTCGGTAACCGTACACAGCGAAGGCAACTATGCAGAGGTTAGCATACTGCTTGCAGTCCTTGAATACATTCCAAAAGACATGACCACCATTATGTGAAGGCTCGCCAACTCCTTTGGAATAAAGTACCTACAAAGTCCTTAATGAGAATCCACAAAGAAAACGTAAAATTATAATAATGCCTCATAGCATCTTTCATACCTGCACCTCATCGACAATGAGGAATGTTGTAATGAACCTGCACTCATCCACAAATTGATCCCAAGTAGTGCCATTCATAAGTTCCTTAAATCGTTCTTCAAATGTCCAAGGTCCACCAGAGATTCTTCTCAACCATAAAAGTGAAATACGAAAAACACGTATAGTATTGTCTCGAAGAAGATATTGTTCTAACAATTGGGCCAGCGAAGTCTTGCCAGCCATGGGCGGCGATCGCACAATCAAAACACCTTCGTTATGTAGAGTTTCAACCAGCCTCCGAAGCGTCTCTTCACGAGAACAGATATCAGGATTATTGATATCGATACCCTCATAAGCGTTAACACGTCCTCCTTCAATCTGTTTGGAGTTGTAATTAGTACCACCGAGGCCCCCTACAAATAACAAATGGGAAAAAAGGTCAGCTGATTGAAGATGGAACCCTACGGATGGATTCTGAAGCAACTATACCTAATCTTGGTGTATATGGCAGCGCATCAGACTTCTTTCCATCTGTGCAAAAAACAGAGACAGATTAGCATAGCGAAAACGGAAACGTCATGTTGAAAAGAGTTCGGGAAAGCATTTCGTTGCCGTTAAATATCTACTAGTTTGCCTCTTATTTGCTCCCTTTATCGCTGTAAGCGAAATTGTTTACCAGTAACATTCTATTCTATGTCTACTGCGCATATAACAGCATTCAAACTATTCTCCCTCCGTTGCTCCTCTATCCTCCTAATAAACGTGTTTGTTTACCTTGCTTGCCCTGTGCTATGAGAAATTCCTCATAACAGTTTGTAGTTGTTCCGGGGTTGTCCTGATGGTATTGAATGTATAAGTCTTTATATTTGTTGTATGCATCTTCGACCTCCTTGCCAGTTGCATTTGAATAATCTCGACAGTATTGAACACTAAAGGCGAATGGTCCCAGTGAGTAGTCCACGTCCATAGTATTCATGCTTAGTTGTTTGTATGATAGTGGTAAAAAAAGAGTCGCGATCTAACTCTGCGCCGCGCACATCAGAAATCTGTGCCAGGTTTTGTCGATCATTAGTCGGATGTAATGTCCGATCACCAGCCCGGATTATTAGCCGCAGTAAATTTTGTATATATGTATTTATTGGCCAATCGTTTTTCAGCATAAAATTAAGCACGAGAAATGGTAAGTGTTCATTAAGATCATATTGAATAATATATTATTTGTGAGGTTAAGAACGTTTAAAGCGTCACTTAATATTACGTTCTTGTCAAGAAATATTATTACAATAACTTACTCAATATAAATCAAGTCAAATCCTATAATAACTCTCTCAATAACTCACTCAACATATTTCAAGCCAAAATAAGCAAATTTCACAATGGCTTGCTTAATAACTTGTCCAATATACTTCAAGTCAAAGTAAGTGAATCCTATAATGGCTCACTTAATAACTTATCTAATATATTTCAAATCAAAATAAGTAAATTCTATAATAGCTCATATAATATGGCAGTACTAAAAATATTTCTGAATTTGTTAGGTTATGATTAATAATATTAAATTAATAAAAAGAAAGAGGATTATTAGTTTAGAAATGCTAAATAAAAATCTATATATTTGTATTAATTAATTATAAAATAATTAATACAATTATTAATAAAAAGATCATTATTAATAAAGAGATTATTATTAATAAAGATATCATTAATTATTAAATAATTAAATATATTAATATCATGCAAATAATTTATTTTACATATTTACAAATAAATTATTTAATAAGATAATAATCAAATAATAATAATAAGAAGTTAATATAAAATTTTAATATATTAGATAAATCTATTAATTTAATTAATTTTTATCAATATTTTAATCTAGATTATGTTTTTTTTGTTAATTTTTCAAATTTTTCATACTAAAATAGTAAATAGATCACTTTTTTTTAATATAATCAGAAAGTTTTCTTTTTATATTATTAGATTCTGCTATTTTTTAGTATTTTACTAATTCAACCTATATATAAATTTTTGTATTACTTTTAATACAAGTATAAGAATTAATATTATAATTAATATTATAAAGAAAAGATATTAATTATAAATTAGATATGTCTTTTATTATATTATATCACTTAATAAACTTATTAAGAATAATAGAAAAATTTGAATTATTATTCTTATACAGTGCAAAATAGTATAAGATATTCAATTTATTATATGAAATATCAAATTTTAATTTTAATTCTAGTATTATATAGTGATATAATCAATCATATAATTAATAATAAATCAATACTAATCTTTATAATAAGACTAATAAAAGTTAAATTATTATAATATTTAATTAATATCTGTTAGTTTATATTATAGACAAAGCAAATAAAGAATATTTTTTATAGTAAATAAGAATAACTATATTAAAAAATAAAAATATTTATTATCATAATACATATTCTTAATATTTATTAATCAAATGTAGCAAAATAATAAATAATTATCTCTTATTCTTTACTTTTTATTATATTATTTTTTTTATTAATTTAATAATTCATTAATCTGATTCATAATCTCTTTATTAATTAATTTATATTTTTTATATTTTTTAATTACATATTTTAACTTTTTCAGTTAAATTATAATAATAAGTAGTTATCTATTTAAATAATAGTCTAGTAAAAGAATAAATTCTCTTTATAGAAATAGAATCAAATACTTGAGAAATTATTTTTCTAATTTTTATTTATAATAAGATTAAGTATACTTCTTAACTATCTTCAATATATCTTAATATAATTAAATTCAAGATGAAATTTGAGATAAAATATAATTTAAGAACAGATAATATTATCAAGATCAAACTAATTAGAAAAAAATAATAAAATTACTTTATATTTACAAGATTTGATTTCTTATTGAATCTAATTATACTATATAAGAAAATCTAATTAATTAGCTATTAAATAATATATATAATAATCAATAATATTAGAATTTATCTCTTTTTTCTTGCATAAAGTATATTTAATATTATTTTCTCTTGCTATAATTTCTTTTTACTAAGAATCTACTAGATTTTTTTAGGCTAACTGTGCAAATTAATATTGAATTTTATTTTCTTATTATAAATAAAATAATCTTTTCCAATAATTATTGATTGATAACTATTATTTCATATTATATTATTACTATAGTGACATAAAATTTCTTAATTTCTTAATCTTTTCCTAGTTATGTAAAATCATATATTTCTATATTTTTCATTTATTTTATAAATATCCCTATTTTTATATTATATATTACTATATTTATTATCACATTT